CTTTTGGATAAACAAATTATTTCATAATTAATGAAATCAATATAATATATATATATATATAAAATTATCAATAAAATTATCATCATTTATTATCATTATATCTTGTCTTCTCTTTTGGATAAACAAATTATTTCATAATTAATGAAATCAATAAAAAAAAAATATATATATATATATATTCATATTAATAAAATTATCAATAAAATTATCATCATTTATTATTGTCTTTTCAACATACAAGATAATGATAATGATAATTTTATTGATAATATTAAAAATTAATTGAAAAATCTTAAAAACTTTGAAATATTAATTTTTTTATTATTACGTTGCATACTGCATCATCTCAGAAATAATGTGTTAGCGTATTTTATTCTATATTGAAAGATTAAAAAAAACATACATACATATTACATGTAGAAAAAAATCCTTATTTTATGATGAAATGTTGATTTCACTGCGTCAGATAATTAGAGCAATATCAAGGTGAAGATAAAATGACTTTCGATCATTTCGAGCTTTTATCTTAAAATCACAGTTACTTTATTTACTCTAACATATTCCAGAGAGTACTCTTAGTCATGAAGTTTGTCCAGGATAAATACAAGAAAAGAAATATTAAAAAAGTTACGACCATTTATAACCCGAGCGATTTAAGTACTTCTCGTCTCTTTTCTCATTCCGTCGCCTTTGTAATTACACGACAGTCTTTTTCCTGAGTTTTTTATAAAGTTTTACATTTCAAGAACAACGTTGACAGCTGCGTACACGGATAAAGTTTCTAAAAAAATACTGGTGTAGAGATACATGTCGAGCAAACTGTTTTGTTCCCGCAATAAAACTCTTAAAAAACTTAGTGAAATTTCCGATATGTAAATACGTGCACTATCGTGCAAAATAAGAATTTGAAACGCTCGCTCGAACGAACAGAATAGCCACCTATAACTCGGATAAGTCAAGTAGAATAATAGTTATCAACTTTAAGTATAATGATTGCATTAAATTAACTGCCAAGTACAAAAAACGAATAGATCTAATATAGTCATAAATGCTTAAGAGGAAATGATACCGTAGGATATATCGATTGTGTGATATATATATATATATATATATAAACTTTCGTAAAATTAATTCTCTGATTTAGTTGATTAAAATTCCCGGTTTTGTTAAATCAATATTTTGTAAATAATATTTAAAAGAGAATAAAAAAATATAATGTTTACATACATATATATTTTTATCTCAATATAAAAAAGTATCATTATATTTCTCTTAACAAATTTAACTATTTTAAATTTAAAAATATAAATAAATAATGGAGAGCAGTATTTGTAATGGAGAGAGTATTTATGTGATATGCACTGTAATTTAACTTTAGTAATCGTGCTGCAATAAATTTGTTTAAAAAATATTGTTTTTAAATATTTACTTACACAGAATTTCATATATGTTTTGACAAGTGAAGTCCCACGAGAAAGAATTGGTTCGTATCACAGATTTTACAAAATAACATTTACTTTTTTATAAAAATAACAGAAAGTTAATATTATAGTAGAAAATATATTAAAACGAAACAAGATCGTGTTTCGTACTCTCTGTTTTTTTTATTTTGTTCATCTCTGATTTTGTTTTTAATGTAATTTTCTCGTTCTTAATGCCACAAAGTGCGTTGAAAGTTTCCGCTGCTATTTCTGTTTTCGCATCAATCTCTTGTTCTTTCACGCAACAAAGTCAGGCAACGAAAGAGCGGATCGAAAAATGGAATAAACTTTATTACATTTTGCTTGCATCAATCGATCGTGTACGGTACATTTAATAGCCGCAATAAGTCCCCTTTGATTCTCGCGATCGTTATTGCGTAAAAGACGCATTGAACACTCGTAAAATTTAGCACTGACAGTATTTTATTACTATTATACGTGTCATTTTATTATGAAACAAATGTATCCTATAATCGATTTCATTGCGAGGTGAATCAAATTACTATTTAATAATGTCACTATAATTTGACTTCTCAAGATAGAAAGACGAGAACTTGTTAAGGTTAATTAATTTCATTTTAAAGTGTATGTGTGACATTCGCTCATTTATCATTTCATTCATTTCAGTACGAAATTCATCAAATAGCGGATCATCACAAATACCGTTTCTATAAAATTGAAATATTATTGAAATGCCAAATGAAAATGAAATTGTTGAAATGTATAGGTCGAATTAATTAAAACAGAAGACCTAATAAATCTATGAAATTGAAGTAAAATTTTTAAATTTTTAAATTAGACCTAAAACTTAATCTTTACAAATAAATAACTTTATAAAGAAATATATATTCACACACACACATACACATTCTTCGAAATAATCTTTTTTTCTATTCTTTCTGATTTATTAAGTTTTGAAAATGAAGCGACTTTGAAAACCTTGATCTTGTTAAATAAGATTAATCTTTTATATTCTAGTCTGTAATATCAAAGTTAAATCAAAGATTCGAATTATATTAGATATATGCTTGAATCTAAAATCCAAATATAATATATCTTGCTGGGATCGGATTATACAATTATCCGCGTTCATTATTTCGGATATAGATGGTTCATAACGAGATTAATATCTTTGAGAAACACAAGACGACAAGATTTATTTGCTTCATCACATCTCGAGCAGTGACTAGTCGCTACAATTTCTATATATCAAATCTGTTGATAAATTTAATTTTTTATTCTTAATGTTTCAAATATATCAATTTTTTATTATATATATAATTCCTATTAATTATTATTATTATTATTATCAATAGCATTAATTAATAATAATTATATATATATATATATCATTAGTATATATATATACATACATGTACACAATACGTGTCACAGATATGATTTTTATATAAAATTCAATAGCTTTATAACGCAAAAATTTATATTTTTGTTCCAAGGAAAGTGTATATATATATATATATACCAACATCAGGTTAGGTTAGCTGTGCATTTATATACCTCGCAATATATTCGAGAAACCATTAGTCTAACAAATTGTACCCTTTTTTTATATTGTTAAAATAATATTTTCTAAAAAAGATTTGTATTGATTTTTTTATGGTTGGTAACCAATTAAGTTAATATTGAAGATCTTTAAATATAAATTTATTTTATCTCATATTTCTATTTTTTCTATATCGGAAAAAAAGATAAGCAAAGCATAGGGAACGCATAAGTTCTCCCATACCTCGTTTATCCACGATAACTTCGTCCCTACGATTCTACGAGCAAACTTTTTACATATTTTCAGATGTTGCAATACATTACATTTCAGCATTACTGAAGAGATATCATTTGTTATGGGGAGAGGAAAAGAAGCATTAGTATAGTATCGAAAAACGTGATACGATTAGGCAATGAATCGTTCGTTGCCTGTTTGTACGCGAGCGGCAAATTAACGACTTCAATTTTGTTGGCCGTGTCTGGAATTTTCGGGTATTATTATGTAAATCGTTATGCTGATGTTGGCAGAAATTGGTTAACGGCCGAAAAGGTAGGGTCTAATAACGAGATTTTCATTTCAGAACATACGTAAAATGTCGCGCGACATTGCAAGCCCATTAGCGAAATTTATTATTTCGTGCACTCCCGAATAAATACACGGCCATATCCACAAACAAAAAGATATAATAGATTTTACATGAGATAGATATTTTACCTATCTAGAGGGAAATCATGAAAGTAAAGCTTTCCTACAACATCTCAGAAATGTGTTAAATTTAAAGTGAATTCTTCACTGTACAAAGAGTTTTGCATATCAAAGAAATATTTAATAATAAATACTTTGCAATTATCGATAAGAAATAATAATATGAAGTAATAGAATATTTTATTATTATTATTATATTAATTTTCCACCCATTTTGGAACAATCGAAAGCATTCTGTGACAAAATTTAACTTACAACTTATTATAAACAAAACTTTTATAAGCGGTGATGGATTTCACATGCATAAAAGTATATGCGAATAATTTTTTTAGAAACAAACCCCTGTCAGATTTTATAATCATCTATATAAAATGTTCCAAGTTTGAAATAAAATCGATTTTTTTTTTAAAATTGCGGAAACTGTAAGGATTTGTTTTCGTTTCTTTTGTGTGTTCAATTCAATATTTGAACAAATCCGCGTTACGAGTGATCGAGAAAATCCCTAATCGAGTTTTATTCCACATTTCTATCTCTAGTGTTCTCGAATACATTTCTCGTATATCACAAAAAATGTCACTATTTCCGTAACAATCACCCAACGATAAAACTTTTATATATCATATTAAAGTATTAACTCAAGTATTAATTTACATTAGCGTGTGATAGCTAGATGTGGCAAATTAGACAAAATAAATGCTATTATAAATTTAATTTTTAATTATATTTAATCATCGTAAATTATATTTATGTAAATATTTATTATAATATAAATTTTATATTATAATATAATAATATAATTTTAAGAAATAAAAATTATATTTTTTTTCGTAATTATTTAATGTCAATAACTTTATGAATGTTGATCGTAATGCTGACACATAGTTAAAAGAATTTATGAAAAAAACTGTAATACATACGCGCGTTCTAAGTAGATTATTACAACGTATACAAGGTATAAATGAAAAATATATATGTCGACATCATTAATATACGCGGAATACGCGCTATGTAAGCGAATTTTAATAGATAATGCATATAGAAATGCAGGAAAATCCCGAGAAACGCTAATGATGTGAATAATTATCCTAATAGCTTGAAGAGAGCTGCAGATTCTTGTTTCAACGATTAAGATAGATAGATCGCGCAATTAATTCATCTCACTCTCAGTGTACTTGAGTTTAATCAAATTGAAAAAGAAGAAACAAAGCATGTAATTTCGCGAAAAAATCGTACATATATAAATATAATTCAATTTACGAAAATTTAAATTTTAATCTCAGTTTTGTCTTTTCATGATTCCTCTGTTACAGGATCAAAATTCAAACGATCGACTAAAACAGAAGATATAAATGAGAAGAAGACGCAAAAGTTGCTGATTACGCAAAGCACATTGCGACATAATGGTATTGTTTACTTCAACCTTTCTTTAAATTTTAACCCATCTAATTCTTTGCTAATTCAGTTACGTTATAAGCTTAAAAAATACACCTTATCATTAAATATAATAAACATATGTATAAAAGATCCAAGCAATGATCGTTTATACTTAATTTCTACCTATAATGACATATTAAAGCGAGAAAACGAAATTGCGAGTGCGTTACGTTGATTTGCGCTTTTATTCTCAATAGCTCAGAGAGAATTTCAACTTGTTGAAACTGTTGAAAGCGTGTTAAGTATACGATGCTAACAGAATGTAACAGCCGAAAATCGTGTCAACGAGAGGAAGAAAGGAGTCGTGAGGAGGGACCGTAATGAATACATTTCTCTCGGCGCGTAAAGTCACCCACGTGCAGCAGCTGTCAAATTCATTAAACGGGACGGGAAGAGTCACAGACGTGCGTCATTCGCGCGTTTACGAGTCTGACGCGCACGCTCTTTTACGAACCTTTCCGCGTATAAAAAGCAACCGGGCCGCAATTCCGCGTGGTTGACGGGCTTGAATTTCCGCGGCGGTTAACGAGCTTGACGATTAAGGCCTTATTTCATAAAACAGAGCTGTCGTCGGCATGTTTAGCGACGTTTTAATCCCGAGGGAGATCGAGGAGAGAAGAAGAAAAAGGAGGCCACCTGCGACTTTTGCTAAAAGGGCTCGGAAATTGTACGAGGGGGAAAGAAAGGGAGAGAGAGACGGAAAAAAGTGTGAGAAAAAGAAATGGATAGTCACGACCACCGTACCGGGATAAGTCGCGCAGAAAAAAAGAGAGGGACGAGATATACGCGCGTTTTCTCTTCGTAATCCCTTCGCGACGCAGGATGCAGGATGAATTTACGGTCGCATCGCGCGCACGTTGCACTTTCTTTTCTCATCGGGCGATTGTAAATACCGCCGCATCGGCCGCTGAAATTTCATTATATTACGCGCCCCTAATATCCGCCCCGGATCGCGCACGATAGGATTAAAGCGCCATTAAACCCGTGTCCACATAAATTTTCATTGGAAGAAAATGTATGTATTTGTGTAAGTCGAGAGTCAATTGGAAGGATTCGCTTGATAACTTGATTAATTGAAAACAATATATGGCTATACCTTACCATATAGGATTATTTCATTATATACTTATAAAAATGATGATACATTTTTCAATATAATTAATTTGTATTCTTTTCGGATAATTTCATGTGCACGAGTTACTTTAATAGCGAAAAATTTTAATTAATAATCGTTGGAGCAATTCAATTTTATTCATTAATGTATTAAAATATAAAATTAAATATTTGAATTGTTTGATTAATTAGTTCTCTAAAATAAGTACTTATAATTAATTGCAGAAATTTTGCTGATAATGAATGTTGAGGCAATATCATTATAAAATAAGTATACACATATACAAACAATATATATATATATACATATATTATATAATATGTAAAAAATGAGTAAAATCTACGATATTCATTAAAATTGACGTGTTTTTACATAACTGAAATTAATATTGTTCTTTCAATAAATTTTCATCCAAAATTGAAGTTTAATAGTTCAAATATTTAATCATGTAACGGAAAGAATTTTATCAATAATCGTGAATGTTATGCAATATCTTTCTGCATATTATTATGCTACTGCAATTAATTATAATTAAAATTGTTAATTAACAATTATGTTCTTCTATATTAAAAGTGAAAAAAATTAAAAACGGAGAAGTGAAATAAATTGAGATATCCTAGAAGGTTAAAGTTAAACAGCAAAGATTGGTCGATAACTACATAGAAAAATATTCTTGAGATTGAAATTTAATACAACACACACCAGCGCGAGTCTCATTTCATTATCACAATGTATTTCACAGAACGTCATGTATTCATTTTCCATGTTCGTTTGCCGTAAAAGAAATGTAAAAAATATCTGCGTAGCATATATCACGGCCATATACGTTTATATATCACGGCCACATACGTTTTTATACATTTCCGCCTAAATGAATAGAATTTTGTGATATTTCTGAACCGTTAATTTTCGTCGGCTTTATTTTCCACAAAAATGTATGAAATATGATTTCATCCATACTTATTTTTATTAAAGTGTTTGATTACAATTTTATATATATATTTATTTAATTCATTGTAATATAATTTTGTGTTATATTTTCGTGTTTACTGCGTATATGACTTTATATGTGTGTATGACTTTCAAAAAATTATTGTGATTTTTTCGATAATTGTTGTATAGATATATGTATCGAATGTCTTATAAAACATGAAAGCTATAGCTTCGATAAAACTTGTTATTGCAAACGGAATATTTCAATTAAACCGAGGCGTCCCGATAGTAACAATGTTTACTCCAATTTCCAATCCGTTTGATAATCCCAAATGGCGTTACGCCGAGTTTTCCTTCCTCGCGATTCGATTTTGCCGATGAAATCTTGGCGCGTATAAATAAATGACGGCAGTCGAATAATTTTTCTTTCTCAACAGGAGTTTTAATTCTCGAGTCGCGGAGCCCATTTCCCCGAGGAAGATGCAAGATCCCCCGATCGCAGCGTAAACGGGGTATAAGTGAATGGAGAAGTCGACGACGGGTGACGTCATCGGGCGAAAAAACGCGATCGTCTCGGAGCGACGTCGATCGCGGTTGATCGATCCCGATCAAGAGTTGCTATCGTCGCCGACTCGCTCCTGACCGCGGGGTCTAGGTCAGGAATTAAATTAGTAACTCTCTGGACGAAGGAGAGAACGGGCGAGGAACTATATTGAATTGCGGGAATAAGGAGGACTTGGATCGACCTGCTCTCTCAGGTGTGATGCCTTCCTGAAGCAGCTTCTCGCGATCGAGATCAAACGATCCAGAGAACATGGCCGATCTCGAGAGGATCAGACTGGTGGTGCTCGGCGGCGCCGGAGTCGGCAAAAGCGCCATTATACGTCGGTTGCTTGGCCAAGGTTTCACCGAGAGATACCGGCCCACCGTGGAGGATCTGTATTCGCGGGAGTGCGTCCTTGGCACCCTGACCCTCAAAGTTGATCTCTTGGATACCGCGGGTAAGATAATAAGCCATGTCTCGCTATTTGTCTTTCTTTTACGTTTTCCGTTTTGCATATATATGAAATGTCGACTTTCATCTCAGAGTAAAAAATATATGTGTATTATTTTTCAAAAATATTAAATATTTTTGACTTTTTTTTAATAAAAAAAATTTTCCAATTTTTTAACCATGTATATAAAAAATTTTTAAGTAAAGATAAAAAATTGGAAAACATGTTTTTTTCAGCTATGACTTAATAAATCGTTAACATTTCGCAGAAACTTAAACACATTTCTTTCGTTAATGATGTGATGTTTTGAACTTTCACGTGATATGTGATACGTAGTTTATTACTAAAAGAAATTTGCTTATATGAAAGTAAACTGAAACTGAGATTTTTTCAAAATGTATGTATCATTTTACATACTTTACAATATACTCATAGTATTTTAATAATATATTTCAAATATTATATATTAAAATTATACTTGAAATATAATTTTAAAATATATACAAGTATTAATTATTATTGTTTACATAAATTATATGACATGGATTATTTCATTAATTTTCTTACTTTTTAATAACCCGATTTTTAGACTTATAAAAACTTTAACAATAAAATATAAAATAAATCTACAAGATAAATTATTTCTATATTTTGCAAAAAGCCATTTTTTGTGTAAAATACTTCTCTTATCATTGAATCTATGGTACAATATAAATAAAAAAGATTGCGTATTATATGATACTATGTGTATATATTCTCAATGATGAACACTCGATATTACTCCGATTTAAAAAACGAGGAAACTTGAATCTCGTAAGAATCGCACATAAAATAAGAGTAACTCAATAGCGCGTAACATACATATGTATACACACGGAAATATTCTTGATACAATCGGAATTGCATTTCCTCGGTGACTTTTTAGCGAAAGAGCAACGAGTATCGGAAAAAGCTGAGAGATAAACGCGTCATATATACGCATCATATATAGGGTGAATCAATATACAGCGAAAATTCAGCAAGAGTAACAATATGACGACAGCTTTCCAATGATGTGGAAAAAAATTATGGTGTGAATAATAGTCAATTTTAAAACATTCATCAAATAGAAAAAAATCAGAAATGAAGTTATAAATGAGGGATTATTTTGTATAGGAATTTTTCTAGAGACCTGTCATATATGTTACGCGGGAAAAAAATCTTTCGACCTTGTATAGGTCGGTTGATCTTTCGCTTTTATAACTACAGGTGACCTGCAGTTTCCCGCGATGAGACGGTTGAGCATAGCCACAGCCCACGCATTTTTACTCGTGTACGCGACAACGTCGTTACCGAGCTTCGAGTGCGTGAAACGTTGCTTCGAAGAAGTGAGAGAACAACGACCCGATTTTCAGGTGTGGCATTAATAAGCGAATTTATTCGCACGCGATCCATAATCTCGTATCACATATTCATGCAACATACTTACTTGCGATCTAGACAAGATTTTCTGCATTCTGAATTTCAAGTAGCATAAGTTGCGTTTTATTTCGTTTTTTTAAACGTATATGCATAATAATATATTTAAAATTGATGGAGAAAAATAAGTTCTTTTTTTCATTTAAACTTTTTTATCTCAATCACACTTGACGAGAGAAAAAGATTTTCGTAAATAAGACTATAGGACATAATTGTCTTTTGACAGGAAGTACCGATAGTCGTCGCCGGAAATAAGCTCGACCTAGCACCGGCACGAAGGGAAGTACCTATTGAAGATGTAAGCGAGTGGGTGTTTTGCGAATTGCCCAAGTTACGCGCTAAAGTGATGGAATGCTCGGCAAAGGACGATTACAATATTAAGGAGTTATTCAGGTGTTTCGTCACGCTTTCCAGAATCGTGCCGAAAAATCCTACCGGCGAGTCCGACGAGTCGGGTCTCAGAAGGAGATGTTCGGCATATGGATCTCGCAGGTATTCTAATGTTATTATTTTCTCTTAATGAGATTAACCTTTTTTGTATTTTTATATAATGTAAATTTTATATAATTTTTATATATTGAATTTATATACCATATATTTTAATTTTATATAATATATATTGAGTATGTATTGAATGTGAGCTTTGCTTCAAGGATAGATTTTTTGAAAAATTCAAGACTAATATTTAATTAAAAATTAGGCTCGTGTTAAATTAAAATAACTATTCCATAATAGGCCAAATTAACGAGAGATTGTTTAGAATGTTAAATAATTTTTTATTAACTACTATAAATTATAAAATGTTGGACATTAAATCAACGTATACGTTTCGACTGTACAACAGTCTTTCTCAATACAAAGAATTTTGCTAAACGTATACGTTGAATTAATGTCCAACATTTTATAATTTATGGTAGTTATTAAAAAATCATTTAACATCCTAAACAATCTAGCTCGTTAAGTTGGCCTATTATGGAATAGTTATTTTAAAACTAATATTTTTGTATAATAGAAAAAGACAGTTATCGAATTATAAAATAACACTATATACGAAAATAGAAATAATTATTTGCAAATTTGATTTTAAGAATAGATAACAAAATCTCTTATTCTTCATTTAATCTCTCAAATAGACGACTTTATTCCGGCAGAGATAAGGTTTAACTCTTATCGAGATATTTAATATTAAAGATTAAGAAAATTTCTTGAAATCCATATTGTTATTAGAAAGAAGATTAAAGTAGTTTAAATTTATTTTTTAAATGAGTCTTGCATGTGTTACGATATTCTGCATATTTTAAAAAGTGACTAGTAAAATTAAATACGCGGTTCGTCCTAATGCTTTACTTGTTCAAGAATTGATTACACATTACTAAGCATTATTGTGATGATTCAGTAAATTTTCCGTATCGTACCTATCACAGATAGGACTATAATCTCGAAAGACAGCGAATCCCTAAGTCGAGCTTACTTAACCCAGATTGTTGATGCAGAGGCAGGCTTAAGATGAAGATTGCATCCTACGTGAAACTCAATGAAAACTGAGAATTGCAAGAGACACGTTTTGGGTTAAATATACGATAAGAATATAAATTTAAAAGCCTGTCAACTGCACTCAATAATAAACGTGGGTTATGAAATTCTTTTTCTTCCTTTTATATGGTTGAAGATGATAATAGGAAAAGAAAGAAATAAAGAATAGAAAAAATGCGATAATAATGATAACTATTATCATAATTCATTTATGAAATAAATCTATTAATTTTAATTATATTTAACTATTTTCCTAATTTATATATAATAATTGGAATATAAGCGCATACTATGCGCGCGCTATTCTTCGATTTTGTATTAAGAGGGATAATATTTTTAAAAAAATATATAAAGTTTGTTTAAACTTGATTAATATTTTTTGACAAAAAAACAGCTGATTAAAGCATTAATTTGCTATTTAAATTTTTAAATAAAAATATGTTATAAGAATTAAAATAATAATATTGTAACTAATATATCATAATACTTTAAACAGCTGATAATTCAAAGCATATTAATTTATTTTAAAGTACTCTAACATATTTAAAAACGTATTATGTTAATGTTTATAACATATTATTTTAAAATTTAACGAGCAAGACTTTCCTAATATAAAATAATATTGTTTTTGAAAAATTAGCCCATTAAACAATAAATTAAGACTCACCAGTACGACGCACAGCATCAGAGTTGTAGTGCACATGTTGATCTGTAAAATATTATAATAGATTATATAAATCAGTGTTTAAAATCTAAAATAATTAATATTTTAAAAAATAATAATTATATGTTAAAACGTTATGAAACTTTTCATTGAATCTTTTTACTATTTTTAATTTTCAATCTTTATTTATTTACACATACATTATGCATATTAACATATTATATTACATGATAACAAAAAACAACATTAAAATAAATGAACAATTAATTTCACAAAAATGTCAAGTATTAAATAATTAAAAACTCACCTCACGGCTGCTCCGCTGTTGCCCGATGCCTCCCCAGGTCTCCTCCTCCTCTTTTTTTGTTGGTCATCTTTGCTGCTCGTAGCACTCACATAAAACATTCGCAAAAACACGGTTAATTACGCGATCACGTATAAAAATCAACGAATGACAACGCGCGGCACTTTGTAACGGCACTCCCAACGTAGAACACGGAAATTATTCGCTCGGCATTCTGAAATTAAATCAAATTTATTAATTATTATTGTGAACTATTATATCGTTATTTTAAAAAAAATATTAATTTAAAATTTTTTAAATATAAAGGGGCTGGAAATTTCAGTCAATGTGTGATGTCTTAAACATCTCTTATTCGCAAATCGGCCATTTAATCGTAATTTGTTACTGACATTAACATAATTAATATTAATAATCTAAAAGATTTTCTAATGCATTTTTGCTTCACCAATTGTTATTGTCGAAGAGTATCGAATGTAAACATAATTATATAATTCGTTCAATATTTGCTTACAGTTTATTTCGGATTGTTAACAGATTACATTACATTTTACGATTGGAAAATATTCACAATCTCTTATATATTCCGTATATTATTATTGATATTCGATAGCTTGCATTACTTATATCGTTCGATTCATAGTTGTGCTACTTTCTCATGCAGCTGTAACGAATCATATACCCATGTGTGGAATATTTCCGTGATAGATTCTCATGTAAGACACTGCGTCTTTTTAAAAAAATTTCTATATAATTAAAAAAATAATTTACTAAATACTCAATATCTCTTCTTTAATCTATGTCCTGAAAAGTGTGCCTCAATTTTATATTTTGCAACATTTTAATAAAGAGCTATAAAATTTTTATTCCGCTCTAATACGTTTTTCAATCATAATTTTCAATTTAAAGAAATTACATATATAAATTAATTATAATAATATAATATACCATAAAGAGTAGACTAAAAACTGTTCTAATTTTTTTAAAAGTCTTAAATAATATTTATTACTTTTCTTTATTTTGCTCTTTGAAAATATTTTTTAGAAAAATTTACTTGTTGAATTACGGTAAGGTCTTCCTCCTGCTGACAATATAAATTCTTATTATCAAAGGATTATTGATCATTCATAAATTAATTTACTGGAAATTCGGGGAAAGTGTCGAGGGAATTGTTTTAATGAAAGGAACAACAGTAATTTCAGCCGTATCTAATTCACACCTGTTATTATTTTATCGCGACGGAAGGTCCGGCAGTCCTGGCGGCAGGACCAACAGCGCGGGTCCCGGTGGAAATCCTCAGCAAGTAGTCGCAGCTCAGGGCTCCAGCGTCGTCGCTGTCACCGAGGAGGTGAAGAGTAAACCGCGTAGTCGCAGCCTGATCAGGCGCGCCTCGAGAAAGACGAAACAACAAATCAGGGACGCCCATGCCGACGATTGCAACATCTCCTAAAGCCTGGTCATCCTTAACGAGGATCGATGAGGATATCAGTCTCGTCGCGAACTAGGAAACCGGGACCAGATCCCAGATTATTGCGTTGGGAAGCGCGACGTTTTCGAGTCATTTGAGTCAAGTAAACGTAAGTGCATTAAACGTAGAGACTCGGGATTGCGCTCGCGATATTTGCAAGAAAGCAACTTGCGGCGGGTCAAATCTTTTCACGGCTGTTAAGCGACGCGGATTAGCATTTACTTACATTTGCTTATTCCGCGTTGATTCACGGGATTTTGAAAGCATGAGAGATGTAAACGCGGTAAGCCGATAAAGTGACTATAATTCTAGAACAAGTCTAGCTCGAGAAAATCGGGAAGGTATAATATGTGGATTTCGTAGAATATATATCAGAAAATGTGTGTCGATGACAGGAATAATAATAATTATTATTATTAGTAAATTCTAAGTTTCAGATTAGCTTTTTTTAACAAATATCAAATTTGCCCAAATATTAAATATTCAATGTATTTTTTCTTTTACTTGAATAATATTAATTAAGTAAAGTATTAAATTTTCGTTGAAGGAAAAGATGTGAATGAAATTATATATATAAAAAAAGAATCTGTAATCGATATACACTTTTTTGGAATGTCCTATATATACATTAACGATGTGAACGTGAAAGTGATGTTTAATGGCGGATATATAATTTTTTCAACGAATGAATAAACTCTTATATTTCTTGATGTAAATATTTTCGATTATTCTAATTATAAAAGACTCATATATTAAAATATCGTATTTTTTATGTGGCAAAGAAGCAATTTTAAATAACACTATCTCGCAATTATTTTTGCAGTGTTCTCAGAATATCACAAAATATATATGATACAAAGAAGGCAATATAAAATTATTGCATATAGAAAAGTTTGTTTAATATAAGATATATGCTGAATGTTCATATTCACACACACATAAACAACATGTATAAGATAGATACATATCATTTTCTTTTTTCAATCTAAGTACTTCTTAGAAATTTTAAAAGGTTCTACTAAACATGGTAATTATCGCATAAGAGTTTAAAAGTGTTGTCTTAACTTCGGAAAATAACGCTCGTAAAGTGCGAAATTCATTTGAGAAAGTTATAAGATTATAAGAGAAAAAAAGGAAAAAAACGAAATAAGAACATATGAAATAACAATAGTATTGAAGAAATATCATGAAAGTAGAAAAACCTCGTACGAACAAATCAAAAAATGTTTTTACGAATTTTGAATATCTGATGAGGTCGTATCAACAAGGCAAAAATGAGAATAAAATTAAAAACGTTAATTTAAAAAGTATGGTTTTTTAAAAAATATATAGTCTTGCTTTGTTATACTTAGAATAAAAAAATAAGATATTTTTAACATTTTCTCGATATTCTGTTCAAAGTTTCAATAAACGATTCAAATCAACAAAAATGTTTCATTAATATCTGGTAAAATTAAAATCAATTTAAATGTCAATTAGGTACCTACATAGTTTTGCAACACGCGCTACGTTTAAACATGTTACACTTTACGGCTACTTAAAATATTCAGAGATGCACATTTAAAACTTTTTATCTCACGTAATACACGTAATTGTTATATAAATATCAATTTTATTTATGTTATACGAACTATTATATTTCAGATACGCCAGTAACCCTAACATATAAAGAGAAAATCGTTTGCAAATTATAAAATCATTGCATAATCGCGTCGAAGCACAAAGTATCTTTCTGCTACTAAATTAACTCTCTTTCTGCTACCTCTTTTTAAACTTTGTTATCAGATATGTGAGTTTCTTTTTAAATAATAATAACGACCGACTACTGCAAACTTTTATATTGTATATTGCCGTTATAAGAACACGTTTTATTCTTCTATGTGCAACATTAGTCAAATCCTGTTTAACAAAAATTTCGCTGGAATTTTTTAACCAATTTTCAATAAATTTTTAAATATTTGAACGTTACATATCTAAATAACTAATATTCAATTTAAGATTTTGTTAAAATAATATTCATGATAGAACACATATTAAAAAATAATTACTCTTTCAAAATTGCTTTATCCAGATCAACTTTTACATTTAAATAAAAAAATACATCTAAAAAATGAAAGTAATGATAGTTCTGAGATATTCTGTGTATTTAATTTCGAGTAAATTTTTTTATTGAGTTTCTATTTTTTTTGGCTTAAGATTTTTTCTAACAATTTCAATGATTACGATACGTTAATTTTTATTCTGTATTTCGAGTGCATAATATCAATGTGAATGGTTCGCAATTGTTGGAAATATCATGTTAATATTCGGAAAGTATATTATATACGCACCCACGTGCGATATATTGTATATTTAGGAATTATATATTCATAATCACATCTAAAAGAACCATTAGAATTTTCCAATGACACGTACCTACGGGAAATATATCGAAGCACATTATTTTAGATATCCGGATCTAGATAGGGTGCTGACTATAATGTAGTTAGGGACGAATCGATAGAAACGATTCTCCTCCTTGTTCTATATATATGTACATTTCTCTCTTAACAAATCTTCTGCTCCGATTTCTTCAAGTTATTTTATAATATTTATATTAGCTGTTATTACAATTATTATTACTGCTATTATATTATAACATTATTATTTTATACTCTAAATTCTAAATTATTAAACTATTTTATTTACTGTGAGATGTATTTCATAAGCGTTACATTTTTATCAAACTTTTTCTATATTTAGAAATAAAGTTTATTTAAAATTAAAATAGTATTATATTTTAGGAAATATATACTATGTACTATAATAATTTATATTATCATTGATATTATTTTTATTAAAAATAATTTTGAAATATTTATCCTAAAAGACAATAACTAAAAAAAATATTGTATTAAATCAATAAAGAAAAATATTAAATCAATAAAATATTAATTATCAAAAATTTTGCCTGTGCAAAAAATATTATTATCATAATATTTCTAAATTAATGACTAAATTGAGTCCAAAAAATGTTGACATAGAATTATTTGCAAGAGAATTTATTTTTTGTAAAATCAAAAATATATTTTACCTCAAGATAAATCAAAATAGGTAGTGTGCAAATAAATATTAAAGAAAATATTTTGTATATATAATTATGAAATAAGAAAAAGCTATTTAAATTATATAAGATAGAACAAGGAAGAGACTCATATGCCATCGTAACTGAACCGATGCACAAAAGGGATTGAAAGAAATATTACAATCTGAAACAGTTACACAGAGTACTCAAGTACGAGAAATATCTTAAATATATATGTCATAATGGACATGTAGACATTTAAAAATGTATAATAACATTATATAATTAAGTAAATACTTAGTCATAAAATTAAGATACATGAGATATGAGAATATCTTACGCAACTTGAAACTTCGCATGAAATATTCGCATATATTTGAGAATTATCGTGTAGTTGTTGCAATTTCATTAATTTGCGGTTATATACGAGGAATATATATTCCTCAAAATAATTCAAAAACATAAAATTGTTTCAATACATTTGATTTTTTGCACCATGAAAATAAAAATATGCTTGAATATTTCGTGACTTAAGTTTATGTAATAATATATTACATAAAATGCTTATATATGTAGATAAAGATTAAAATATTGCAATAAGAAGCTCAGATATGATATTTAAGTAAAACTCATATTTTACGGATGAAAATATCAAGCCTTTTGCTGATGACAAAATATGAATTGATTTAATTTGATATATGTTGCAAAATACAAAATGAGAGAGGCTAATATTTGTAAACAAAATTTATGTACGCCAATATCACTATAGTGTTTTTATAATAATAATTGCAGAGATTAAACTTTCAAGTATGAAATACTTGAAGCAATATCTCACATATATTCTTATATATGTATGTACACACACACATACACACACAATATATCGGAAATAAAAAAACTCTTTACAAAATTGTGACTAAAATAATGAAAATAATAAACAACTTTGCAATATTGCCAATTGTTAATATAAATGTAAAAATAGTGAATATAATTGCCATTATAATAAGATCTTTACAAAATACTAATCATAATACCAAATTACATATTCATTTTCAGATCTATATCAATTATTAAGCTGTTTATTATTTTAATTTTGTCGGCAATTATTTATAATTATATTATTAATTATATTATTGGAGCAATTCATGCTTGAAAGTTTAAACTATCTAAAAGATATGAGCAAAAAGCAAATTGTTTGGATTTAAATGGAAATTATTGATTAAGACGATGATTGATAAAGAAGTTAAAAAAAGGATCAATCGCCGCTCTGTTAAGTAACGCGACTAGATTACGAATATTAATAACCGTCCTATTAAGATATTTTTCGCGCGACCAAGAGGAAATTATAAAGGTGAAAGGTATGTTCAGCGAAGTGAACTGAAATCGCGAGATGTTCTGCGGTGAGTTCACTAATGAAAAAAGGTCATAAAAATATGCTTAGCAAATATTCCGCGCGAACGTTTCGCGAGAATGTATGCGTGAAATTTTGTATTTTGACATTTTAATGAGAGAAAGCAATGTATTACTTCTATTAGTTTTATCCTCTTTGTGCATGTAATGTTTATCGTCGATAAACGTGCAACATCTAAAGAAGAAAAATATAATTAATTTTTCAAATCAGCCAAAATATTGTTAGAGATGTCACACACATATATATACATATATGTATACATGTATATGATAATTAATTAGTTTAGACATTTGTATTAGTTGTAACATGCATTCTGAAATTTTGAATAAAATATTTAAAAAATATAAACTGATATATTTATACCTCGTATAATATATCAGAATCCAAATATAACTCTGTACTATGAATAATGCAAAATTTCATTAAAATTATAATTAAGAGGCGGATTCATGTTACCCAATATTATGTTTGTTCAATATATACACATACAATTAAATTTTATATACAGTTAAATTTTCTAATTTTTTTTTGTTTAATTATGTATGTATATATAATTATATATATTTAATAATTTTTAAGAAAGTTTCTGAAGAAATAGTTTTTTTCTGAACGTAATAATATATATATATACACACACACACACACACACACACATATATTCTTCAATACAAATATTAAATATGCATAATATATACATACATAAATTTTTGTATATATTTAATATTTAAGCGTTAAAGATATACATATATATGTATAATAAGAATATATATAATATATATTCTTTAACACTTAAAAATTAAACATATGCAAAAATTTAATATACGTATGTATATTATACATATTTAATATTTAAGTATTGAGAAATACATATATATATTCCTTCAGAGAGAATTTCTTAAAAATAATTAGATAAACTAAAAGAGAAAATATACATATATCGTATAAAAGATAATTTCATGGAAAAATTATAATAAAATTAAAAACATTAAGATTAGATAATAAAATCCAATAAATTTCTAGAATTTAAATAATTCGAGACACTTTTGGCTGCAAAGTTTATCTTACTTAGGAGATTTTGCACGATGACTGACGATATACAAGCACATTTTGTTGTGATCATTGCAGCAAATATTCTCTTCTGTGTCTATAAAACTTTGCGCGACCTCAACGGATTTCTCGAAGTAGATCTATTTAACTTTTTACTAGTATCTTACTTAAGCCCCTTTCGCACCCATTATTTATATGCAAATACCTATATTCTATGATAATCAAATTAATTCAATCTGTATCTAAATATATATACAATGGACCAAAAAATCAATCAGTTTTTAAAATTCCGATTTGGCATAAGAGATTGATTAACAAAAAAAAATGTTAATCTGCTTTTAAAAAGATTGTAAAACAAAATAGTTTTTTGCAAAAAAAATGGAACAATGGCGTTTAACAATTAATACGAATAAAAATCGATTATTTTCCGGTGTCTGTTTCGAGTATCTTCTAATTAAAATAGATAAATGCATAATACATATCAAGAGAAAGACATATAAATGTATAATTATTATTTTCAATTTGTTAATAATCGATATTTTTGCAACGATACATCTCTTATACATATGAGTACACTTACTTTTAATCTGCGTATTTCGTCGCATAAAAGTCAAGGACACGATTCACTCTTCTTCTCGAAGCCTCCGAGAGATGTATATGTATATAAGCGTCTTTTCTTCCTAATTTCCTTAAGCTTAATCTCACAAACAAGCGGAATGGCCGGGTAATGATGTCCCTGTAAATAATTAATGCCGTATCCCTCAATATATAGTTAAATATGTATTCCCAAATGATGCTGTATACGTTATTATTAGTAATCGACGCAAAATCGTATATCTATATATTAGATTGTGTCAGAAATTCTCTACTATATATATACTTCTAAAATCTCTCTTTAAAAACTGTACGCACACAGTTTAAAAATTTACCTAATATTTTTATCCAAGAAAACAATCTTGTGTATTATATTACTATATTAATATTTTACATGCGTTATATTTTATAGTACATTAATATTAACGCTCTGCGCAATATGTAATGACCAACAGAAACACATTAATATTATATATACGAATTCAGAATGTGATGTTAAGAATATAACACAGAAATAAATCAAAATGAAATAAATAAGAATTTTAGAAATTGAGTTCGATATGGATATGGAAAATGATTTTTACGTTCATTTATAATAAAAAAACCATGACAATTGCTGCAAAAAAAGCGTAAAAAATTAATTTATTAAAATTATATTAACGCTTCGAATAATTTTTTGGAATATATTATATAAAGTAGCGAATCACACTTTAAATCACAACTTTTATTTTAAACTGTTTTAATCTGTTTCTGTTCGCATACCAAATATATTATATATATTTAAAAAATTGCGTACATTTTTGGGCAGACTGTACATATAGCATGTAAGATGAAAAAAGAGGTTAAGCTAATGAATCAAAATCGAAAAATCTCAAAAAAATTTCTCTCTCTCTCTCTCTCTCTCTCTCTTGACAAAAAATAGTATCTTGTAAAATTAACTTAATAATTTACTTCTTACCAATACTATCGAGCTTATTACGGACCACAATAACGCTGAGAATTATAATTGGCGAATTTTGCCGTACGGAACATGTGAAATCTAATACACTTAATGTTCTTTTTGAACACACACAGAACGAATAATCCTTCCCGGATCGATCTTATCTTGCAAACAAATTTATATGTATATGCTTTAAGTTACGTACTTGTGTACATGCTCGCACTAATTCTTTGCTTGTTATCCTTTTCACTGTTTACAAAATTATATTAACTTATTGTTATAATACATAATTAAATAATCAACAAATTAAGCTCTCAAATTACACGTTGCGGAACCGTTGAACCACATGAATTTGGCAAAGGATCGAGTTACAATGCGAAGTATCGATATATCGATATATCGACATAAAGTGAGCCAATCAAAATTCGATTTTGAATCTCATTTCACGCGCTAAAATTTAAAAGTTTTTCTAAATCAAATATAGATAACTTTTTGTTCTCATTAAAAATATTTTTTTATCTCGAGATATGTATAATAAATTCTTTTTAACGCTGATTTTTTTTTCTTTTAATACAGAATATCCTTGTATTAAATTCACTTTATGTAATTAATATATTTTTTTAATGAAAAACTATTGCAACAAAATTTGCATTTATTGACTATTGATAATAAGAATTTCAAAGATATTAATTAAAATATAATATTTTGTTCACGTATGCAATATAAAATGGATTATGATGCAAGTAATGCTGCATTTTATATTAAAACTGTCATTTTGAAAGATAGACTTTTTATATTTTCTGTAATTAAAATGAAACAAGTAGACGCTCATTTTCGAAGAGAAAAAATACAATAATAAAAATATATAACTAAATATAGTATTATATATATATATATATATATATATATATATATATATATATATATAAATTAATCTCTTACTTATAATAATTTGATAATTCTATTCGTCGACATATTCTCATTATATTCATGAGCGCTAATGAGACATATTTAATATATGTTTTTAGTTATATACTTTACTAGATTCGAAGTTTTCGTTTTATCGTATAAGTTAGACTGAACGTTTACATATTTCTATATAATATTTCTATTCATACATTTACATATTTCGTATTTATAAAGAATCGCATCATGTGAACCGGAATCGATAAAAATAATTGATGTTTATTAACAGGGTTAAATATGCATACTTTAAAACTCAAAACAGGATTAGAATATTTCTATTCCTAAAATTTTTTTACGATAAAAATAAAATTTTCATTAAATAATACTACAATATATATTATTGCAAGAAATATATCATATTTTCAATTTCATATTTGTGATCGTTGATGACACACTCAATAATAATTCTACAGATTAAATTTTTTTATATAAAAAGATAAAGAATTCTAAAATTGAAAAATATAGATGAAAAGATTTCTTTCGCGCTAAAATATATTTTGAATATTAGAAATAAAATAAATTTACTCTTTTAAAGTAAAATTAATCTTTTTCAAGGTCACAAATGACTCTGTTTTGGATTGCAATATATTTTCTGAATTAAATATAATAATTATAAACAATTTTGGAGTTATTTAATTTATCTCAATTAGTTAGTAGATATATTGTAAAATAAAACATTGATAAAGCAATGTCTCTGTGACCAATCTGGTATCTCACAGTTTTATATATATATATATATATATATATATATATATATATATATATATATATATATATATATATATATATATAAAAGCATTAAATTCGCAATTCTTTATGCACTACTTTGAGGGCTTGAATATTTTCGTAATCGTGCAAATTTAATTAATTAATAAAGCTGTGCGTTCAACATTATTGCATAATATTATATTTAATCAAAGTAGTTATCTTCCACTTTCACTTATCCATTCCATTATCACTTTATAGATCTATTATTATAAAACTGCAGCGTCTATTACCGTATAATCTTTGAACTCTTATCGCAATAAATCATATTTAATATACATAAATTTTACTGTATTTCTCATTTGATATATACACAATTTAACATCCTCCTGTTGTTACAACTCTACTGAATATTGTACTTTAACATTGATTGGTGACCAATTTCTTTACTGTATAATGTTGTAAGACATTATCATTTTTTATTAACTAAAGGAAATCTGTATTGTGTGTCTGTATGAAGTATTGTCCCAAAATATAAAACAAAAAAAAAGACAAATTTTATTACAAAGTTAATTACTTTGTAAGCATGAAATTAATTTTGAATAAATTTTATTTACATCAAAAAAAATCTTATTATATTAAAAATTATTTTAAAAAACTATATACTTTGTAAATTTTGAATAAAATTCCCGTAATAAAGAGAATCGTGCAACGTAAATTTTACAGGAGTAAAAGAGTGAAAATAAAATGAAATTTTGACAGATAAATATTACACATATCGCTTATAAACATTGATTTTCTCTTTCTTTTTTCTTCATTCTTTTCTCTTAAATAATAAATAATCCATATGTATGTATGTACGTATGTGTGTATGTATGTATGTGTATACATATATATATATAATTGTACAATACACAGAAATTTACAAATAATGAAGCAGCTACAACATGCAGCTTCTTCATTCACTTTGTTAAATAAAAATAAAGAGATAAATTATACTACTTATTACTTTTGTGTGTATTATACGAAGACTGATATTGCAATCCTACGAAGAAATAGTGGTGACATTCGAATTCGTGTCCGAATTGCACTCATTATCCGTTCCATGAAATAGATATTTGAAATACTGAACATAAGGCTGACAATGTTCTCCCCTTGTAAAGGCCGTGGTGTTGTGCAACCTCAAATTGCGCTGTTCAAAGAACTTGAAGACCGAATGAAAAAGTGTCGCGTCGTCAGTAGCTTTTGCAGCCTCTAAGAATTTTCTTGCAGATACTTGATCTACCATTCCAACTGATCGAACATATCTGAAAGACATAGAGACATGTAAGTACACAGTACTAAGATGTAATCGCAAATTCAAGACACAGTTTCAAACTACCGCAAGGCAGCCAAAATATGTCCCTTAGATAAGAGCACTTCAATTATCTCTTCATGCGCGTTGCCCAATCGTTTCAGCATGTCTAATGCTAACTGATGCGCTGCTGGATACAAGTTTTCCAGAGAAAGTAGCAAGCAGGCTAAAGGCTTTGAATCAGCGACCACGTGGTATTGTAACAATTGATGAAGCTGATAATAAGCCTTTTGATGTACCAGTGTTGTGATGATCAATTCATGTAAATAATGTTGCACAGGTATTCCATGTTCAGCTAGTGATCTATATGAAATTCGATATAGTTGTAAAAAATAAAATAAATTAAATTTATTCTAAAAATTATCAGAACTATTATGTTGTATACTACTACTTAATTAATCTTTATGTACCTAATATATTCAAGCAAAACCCATATTATCATCTTTGGTTCCAGTTTGTCGTCAGGAAATTTGGATAATATGTGACTGTACATGTCGCTTTGATCGAGTAATAATTTATACTTAAAATTTTCAGCCACTGATGTTATATTTTTTACATTATTTTGTAAAGGTGTTCCCATCTACAATTCATAAATAAAAAAGATAAATAATATATTATGTTCTATATATATCATCAATATGTAAAAAAAAGAATTTAATTAGCATTACCTGGTTTTGTATTTCACTTTCTAGATAATTTCTGTATACAAAATTAAGTTTATCAAATATGGTTGGCATCTCCATTAAGCTTATAGGTAACTGCATCATAAAGCTTTGCAAGACTTGTATTAATATCTGTTTAGCATTTGACCGCTGCATTAAAAATTCTACAAGGAGTACTTTATCTGTAATTAATTTTACCAAAGTCTCCAATCTCAACTCAATGTACCTATATATTAACAAATAAAGAAATTCATAGATTAATATACAAATAATTTAAAATAAGATCTATTTCAATTAAACACAAACCTACCATAAACAGCCCAACTTTACATCAATTATTATATTTGGTTGAAAAACAACCCAATTAGGGGAATCTATGTAATGTTAAGACTCAATAGCTTTAGGTCTTAATAAGATAATTTTGTTATAAATATTTAAACATTACTAAAGCTATAAAATTTATTTTTAAGTAAAAGGATACATAACTGACATGGTTGATACATCTGATCAGATAAGGTTGTACCTGGTACTTTAAGATTGAATGGTTTGATTGGTTTTGCCATAGCTATACTAGTATGATGCATCACTGTACCATCACTTACTCCAGACAACATAATATCAAATATCATTGATGTCTATATAAAATACATAGTTCAATTCCCTAAATAAACTTATTTATATTTAATGATAATATAATGATAATATAATGATAATACCTTTGATGCTTGATGATGAACAATGATAAGATTATCAACAACATTTATAGCAAATCTGCCACTAACATCCAGTTTTAACATATGACTCTTTTTAATGGTCATCATCCTGCAAAAGAACAATAATAATATAATATATAGATATTGGCTGTTATATTTAAAGTATTAAAAAATAATAAGCAAATCTTACTTATGTACAGTATAAATATATACAAATGCTGTGCCCATTGAGCGATTAGCTCCTGGTTGATGCCTCAACAAAATTATACAAGGTGTTCCATATAACACAGCCAATGCTACATCTCTTTCAGAAACAGCCAGTTTTCCTGGTTTTGTTATACTATGTTCAACTAAAATAAATCACATGTGCAAAAAAATAATTTTTGTCTGGCTTGATATTTAAATATATTTGTTGTATATGCTCACTAACTTTCAAATTTAGTTAATTTATGAAGATTCCCAGGTGTAACGTGCAATGCTTGTATTTGATTACCAACTGTACCAGATGATAGTAACACCAGATAACTCTTGGGGCAGAATACAAACCAATTTACCCCCAAACTTAAGCACTTTAATGCTCTAATGGTACGTTTCTCTGGATTAACCTGAAACAATAGCATTTGACTTTGTATTTATTAATGTATAGTCTCGAATTAATCGAGGAAAAAAGTTCTTACATGAAACAATTCTACACCGTGATCAGTAACTACAAGTATCTCAGTGCCATGTGTCCAAACAAAACCCAATATTGTTGCATTCTTCCCTTTGCATGGCTGAGAGTACTCGACATGATCCAAGCCGGATACAGAGGAATAATTAACAAATTCCACTGATGAATTGGTGCGTTGAATCGCCAGTACATTCATATTAGGAGAGAACTTGATGGAAATTACTGGGCCTCTGTCCTCCATCCGAAAGCTTAAGTTCTGGTCTGGGCCCTTAACGAGCACTCCTGTAACACCACCTGAGCGAACAGCAAATACCTGTAAATAGATTCATTTTTGTCATTATATCACAGGTAAAAATAAATTGTTTATCAACTGGAAAATTCAACTAACTTGCTGTTTCGAATCATCGAAAAACACATTTGTGAGGCAGCTAACTGATTCAAACCTGATAGGATCAGGAGAAAGCTCCAAATAATAATCATCGCTCTGCCCTCGATCGTCAGCTTCCATGTCTGGCATATCTAATCATCTGATTCAAATGCTTGACATTTCTCAGGACTGTCAAAGAGGAGGCTGAAGAGGGGCCACGCCGCCGCAAACGTCAGCCGTCAGACGAGTTTACTAACTGGTACAGTGGCGCTAACTAGATCCATGTTAGAACCGGAATTGCATAATAGGTTCACTTTCCGGTTTCGGTGCGTCTTTTAAAACTTCAAATAATCTCCTAATCATGTTCCTAATATATTTCTTCGCACAATGTATTTTTTTTATCAATAATTGGTTCTGAATGGAGAAATATATTTTGCGAAGAGGTGCATTGAAGAATATATGTATCTTACGAAGAAATATTAATTAAGGCGAATATATTCGAGCGTTTTAAAAATTCAGTACAATTCAGCTCGTAAACTGCATTATGCAGAAAATTTCATATGCTATATAAATTAAAGATTAAAATAAATAAACATTTATTTATCAATTTGCATTTATTGTATTGCATAAATATTTATTTATTTATCAAATTGCATTTATTGTGTTGCATTTAAATTTTAACAATATCTAAAAATTTGTTGAATTAATTCAGAAAAAATTATTCTTTCTAATACATAGTTTTGTTAATGATATAACAGTGCAATTTTCAACTTGAATGTTATGTTAAAACACATTTTTATATACAAAACAGTAAAATTTATAAAAATATATATATGACATCTTATAAATGCCTTTAGAAATGCAGTATAATTTTCAAAATTGTTGCAGTGTATTATGTATATTTTATATTGTGAGATCTATTTTTTCTGAAAAAAGCTAGTAATGCTTTTGGATCCTGCAGCTGCTCTCTGTCTAGCTAATTCCTTTTTGCCAGGAATAATGTTTTTTTGTACCTATGAGAGAAAATTTACAAATATTTAAATTGTTGATCTTGTTTAGAAACATGAAAAAAATTCTCTATAAATTTTGTAACGCCATATATTGTAAATAAAAGCAAATATACTGTAAAAAATAGAAAAAAATATCGAAATTCGATTTGCAAATTGACATGCATTATTAAAATTATTATAACTGTAAAATAATTAACCTTTTCAGATTTAATTAATATGTTCTTCGTTTTTGTTTTCGATGGTGGGTTTTCTTCAGAAGAATCTCTTTTAAGTTTTTTCTCATCAGTTGCATTTATAGGACTAGTTAATTTGCGTTTTTTATTCTCCGTTTCATCAGATATATTTAAATGTTGTGCCAATTTCTTTGAAAAATCTTCAGGAAGATATTCAGATACAATTCCATATGCATATTTCAAGTATTCTATAAAAAAGAAATGTTTTGTTAATAAATTAACTTTCCTTATAAATAATAACTACAAAAAATCTATTTAAGAAGATATTACTTGAGAAATTCTCAAATGTTTAATCTTATTCAGTTTATTCTATTTTTTATTGTAATTGTAATTTATAATTATCTTGTTTTTCTTACCTGCTTCTGTATCAATTTCATATTTAGTACTCTTGACATAAGTAGCACTAATAGCACCTTGGGAGACATGAATACCTTTCTGCTTTAATAAATTTGCTACCTTTTCTACCTTCTTCTGCAGCCATTTTAATGACTTTTCCTCGTTAAATTTGAAAGCTTGTAATGATTTATCTCCCTTACAATCAGCAATTAACAATAAATTCAAATTTTCACATTGTGCAAGGCGAGATGTTTCTGGAAAATCCTCATCCCAGAGGCATTGTTCTAAAGGCTGCGCCAGCTGTGACTATATTCATTTTTTCAACATTTAAATTTTCGATTATAATAATACCAACATAAAGACATTAATTTATAATTTTAATAATTAAAATTCTACAATTACCTTCCTTAGATATGGCAAAACTAAAAATAATGGGTCAACTGGTGTTGACAAGTGCAACTTGCCATCAGATTTGACACTATCGTCAATGAACCAAGATCTTTTATTTTCGTCAAAGATTAAAACTTCCTGCACTGTGAGATTATCAGGACTGAATACAAATATAGCTGGTTTATTAGAAGCTGGATGTCTAAGTTTCACAATCTCTGACTGCGCCACATTTGAACTGTCCAGGCTATCTTCTAAAATATAAATATATTTGTATAAATGTACAGAACTAAGAAACTATCTGACAAATGCAACTTATGAGAATATTAATTAAAATTATTACTAATAAAAAATCGTAAAAATACGAATAACCGATCAGCAATAAATCGTTCATATAATCTTGTAATTTACCATTCATAAAAACACCCAGGTGTTTGTCGACGAATTACAATTCGTCGTCCGAACGCCCTTTGGCGCCGATCCTTTAGCACGCGAAATTTTCCCGCGCGTTGTACGTTGCATCGTTTTTTACGAGGTGCGTTTTATTTGAGGCTTGCAACTTTCGGAATAAATTGCAGAACTTAATATACACGTATAAACACTAAATCAGGAATATTCTTGCAGATAAAATCTAATATGTATTAAGCAAATAAAATCATCGTTATAGGTTAGACCAGGATAAATTCCAAGCTGCAAAAGTTTTTATATTCTGTTTCATTATTTATATAAATCATCCTTATTCGTAAATTCTGAAAAATTATCGGTACTGCGACCAAACAAGTGTGTAAATATAATTTAAAATGTTATTATCAATTCATTATTCATACGGACAGATCATGAGACCGGACTGACATAAGACTAACCTAACGTAACTTAACCTAACCGATGGTGAGTCGACACGCAAGCGTCTCTATGTCAGTGACATTTACACACATTAAATAATCACAAACAAATGTACATTTTATTATACATAATTAATAATTACGCGTCTTATATAATGAAATGGTGAAAAAACTATGATGTAAGATATATAACAATATATATATATATTTATATGTAATTATTTATTATTATATATTATATATATCTTTCGTATATCATGATGAAAACTATATGGAACGATATGGATTATAAATTGTATTTTAGGATTTCTTTTATATATTCCGCATCTTTCTTTCTCTTTTATTTCTGTTTTCTGATAATAGTTGCTTTTAATTTTAAAATAGAAAAAATATGCTGGATATATACAAGTCTTGTTTTTATCATCAATACAATGATACAAGCATATATATGTACAGTATACGCAATTAAATTCTTGTCTCACAATCAGTAAAGATATCCTCTTGCGTACATGTAAAACTTTTACATATTTTTTTATTTTATATATATAACTACTTTGTGATTTATTTTCTTTTCAACACAATTTTAAAAATAAATCCCCTTTTTATGTTCTTATATAAAAGTACAAATATAGTAAATATACCGAGCAATAATACTCTCTAGCATGTTCTCAAGAATGATCATACTATTGCTCTACTTGCTACATATAAAACTTGATATTTCTTACATAAATATTTAAATAATTGATTAAGGATTTTAGAATCAAAATTAAGAAACCTCTTTACTTGAAGATTCGTTTACATATAAATATGATGCAAGAAATACGAATGTGTATTATCAAATCTATTTATTTATACACACAATTGCATGTATTAAAATTTTTCATATTTTATCATAATACAAAATTACAATTAGAGCACACAAATATGTGAACTAAATATCGTCACATTACTATATATAAAAATACTATATATAGTTATTCTAAAATTGTTAAATTACATGCAAAAAGAAAGAAAAAGTAATATAAAAAATATTTATAGCTTTTCTTTCATATTTTTTTTATGAAAAATAAATGATATATATAAAAAATATTGCATGTCAAACTTCCTCTTTTTCCTTTTGTTACATCAGATTCTTACAATTGAAGTACATAGATGAAGTGCAAAATTATAGTTGAAAAGAAGAGAGAAGTAGGACTAGCTAGAGATATCAAGCTGTGACTAGAAAGTAATCCTTAAAAATCTTTGGAAAGCCATGAAAATGTCTACATTATCTTTACACAAAATACATCGGATACTGATTATTAATTAAAATGCTATCTAATTTTCTCTGTGCTGCACTGAGATTGTCAGAGTAAACTGTGGTGCTGCAACTAGAGAAAAACATAAATTAGTGATATAATTGATGATCAATCTATACTGTAATCAATTGCTTACCCATCTAGTAAGGCTTTTGCACGGTACGCTGCCAAATGAGCATAGTAAGTTGGCGTTGGATAGCTTACCGCTCTGGTACAACGCGCATACATATGACAAAGATAATATGTCAATTTTTCAATCTCATCTGGGCTATATTTAGATTCATTAATTATGCATCTATATTTGGTAGGCCTTACAGTACCCTGTATTTGTGATGTAGCATAAGCAGTTTTAGTTTAAATGTTATTTAATGATTGTGAATATAAACATTTTCACTGTATAAAACTAATAATTCTGATATATGTTTAATATGTTTTCTAATTCTTAAAGTAGATTATTACAGTTGTTTACATTGTAACTGTCATTAATCATTATGAGAAAATTTTGTGATCAGTTTATTTAATGTCTTTCTAATTGAAATACATGTAAAATTATATAAATAAATGCATTTTTACAACCAATCATTTTACCTGAATGCTCATGTGTGAGACGAGATAAAAATCAATATTATCTTCATTATGTGGAACAATTTCAGTATCGACAATTGTGCCCACTTTCACATTACCATTTTTGTCCTTGTGTTCGTCTATGGGAAAAAAACGCACGTGATGTCTCTTCTGGACAATTAAGCAGGTAATTTGAATCTTTGGGATCGATTGATTAAATTTATTACATGCGTTTTTAATAGCTGTTATTTCGATATCCTTAAATTGTGAGAATTGTCCATCAGAAATTCCATCTCTATACATTAAAATATAAATATATAATAGAAAACGTTATATTTTAAGCTTAACACGATTATATATATATATATATATACATAAACAAAATTACACACCGATAATAGATGATGCTATTTGGGAAACAATTTGTCTTTTTCTTATAAATTGACAATTGTGACGTTATTATGTCTTCAAGACCTGAGATTATTTCTTCTTTAGAATTTTGAAGTTTATACATAACATTATACTGGAACCCAAAAGTATCACTACTTGCAGTAACCTAAATTGATAATATTTCCATCAATGTATATATTCACATAAAAATTTGGTTTAATAATTATATGCTTACTGCTGCTATGGAGGGTGTATTAACATCAGGAGCTGGATGAGTTACATCGGCACCAACAATCATACAATTTTTCTTCAAATATTTTGATCTAAGAAAAAACATTTTTTTATTATTAAAAAGTATTTCTTCATATAAAATAGTAAGACACAAATATTACTCACGATTCCTCAAGTATATGATTAATACCATTTAATTTTGCGTTTATTTTTAGAAGAATATTTGTTATTATTGATGGGTTTGAGTTAACCACTTTCTCAAAAGTCTGTTTTTTTAGACACTGTGTCAAGACACCTATGTCCAACTCGGTCATCTGTTTTATCTCGCCTGAGACAAATAATTTCAAATTGATTTATATATTTAGAAATTTAAAAATAAAAAACCTATATACTTACTGTATATGTCTGTAAAATCTGGTAAATAATCTGGAATAACCACTATTATTAATTTCATGTTCTTATTATCCTGAAAGTACTTTTGGATTTCCCTTTTTTTTTTCAAACTTTTGAATTCTCGAGTGTTAGCATCTTTTATCTGCATACCATACTTACTTGCTAAAAAAACCATTTGACAATATAAATATAATCTACATAATGCAATATGCACAACTAAAAATAGCGATTCGTGAATCTTTAAATTTATATTTTTTTGAAATTGTAGTTTTTTAGGAACGTCACATAATACACAATTGAAACATTTTAGATATATTTTTCATATACTTTACCATATGTCTGTAAGTTTTTCATAAAACATTCCATGTTATCAAAAATTTGGTTATTTATAGGTTCAAATTGCAAATTGAGAATAGTCCACGTATTCTTTTCTAAAATTGTCGCGGCTTGATTAAACATATATTTCGCCATTGTCCATATTCCATTGTTTACCTCTACTGATTGGTTGTATAATAATTTCGGAGCAGGTAAGATCCTAGCATTTACTTGTTTCATTTGTGTGTTGACAGACAAATGAAACTCTTTCATGGTAGGACTAACATTCACGTTGATCATTTCAAACTACAAATTCACATAATAAATGTATGATGTAAGAACATTTGATATAATAATATGAAATTTCTTTTACCGCTTTTTCTATCCTCTCTTTGCGGGTTTTTGGATTCATCATGGCTTTAATCATATTAGTAGTTTGGTCGCTATTCAACTTTTTAACAGATTGACCCTTCACAATAGTACATAACTGCAAAGATTTTAGTAATATTTTAAATAATCTTACTAAATTATTTGTGGCAACTATAAAAGTGGCTTACGTACTTCTGCAGGCAAATATACCTCTGCCGGTTTCTCTTTATTATCTCCTTTTGTTTTCTTCGCGACAAGACAAGGTAGATGAGGGAATTTCAATATATAATTCTTATATTCCTTAAAAAAATCTTTTACTGTGATTTCTATTCCATTATACTTGAATTTCTGCTTATTAGCAGGGAGATCTATTCCTTGTATGCGATATATTAGTGGTTTTTTAAGCTCCTGGGAATTCTTATTCGGGAGTACTTTGTAAATCACTCTTAAATTCTTCAAAAAATTAAGTTTTTCTTCTAGTTTTTTTTTATTAGACATTTCGTATTCTTCTAATTGATTTATTAAACAATTAACCTTCTCAGCTTTAACAAATCCTGTAGGAACAACTAAATAAAAAGAAAAACATAATAAATATGGCACATAAATTAACAACGATATTTAATATGGATATAGTCTATAATTTGTAGTTAAAATTCTTGTAAAAGCTTTAATATTTGTCCAATTAATAATACTTTACCATCTACATTTAAATACATTCTATATCCAAGTATAGCGGATAAAAAAGACCCCATGATAATGTTAAATAATGTGGCTTTTTTCTATCTAGTAATGTTCCATTATCTAGATCCCGGAACAATAATTTTCCAACCTATAATAATGCACATAGCATATTTTATAATCTGTTGCTATAATATATTTTATATCATATTTATTTATAACGTGTTTACCCACCACACTTGCATGCACACACACACACACACACACATATCTATGTAACTATTTACCTATGTACCTACCTATGAAATATTTAAAATAAATATTTCGTAAATAGATAAGTAAATAGATAGACTGTATAAAATATATTTTTTCTTTATGAAATTTTATTATTATACAGTATAAAGTGTAAACTTTTGAACAATACATTTCAATTTTGAATTCAAACAATATGCACACATTAGTCTTCAAACATATACAATTAATTTTTCATGATTCAGTCACTTATTCGTATAAAAATTAGTAGATTAATTACTCTAAAATTACCATTAATTACTTACATTAATAAATTTTGACTTAGGTCTATAACGTATGATGATATCTAGAGCTTGTATACTACTTTGAATGTCATCAACTTTAACTGATAAGTTTTTTAACCAGCTAAAATCGATTTCTCCTACTTTCTGTAAAGTAATTCTAAAGGTTTTATTTCTTGTAGATGTAGTACATTCTGTCTTGCATCTTTCATCGCCACATTGATTATCACATACTTTATCTTGGATCTCAATCTCAGTTTCCTGTAGAATAATTAAAAAAATTACTATTGTTAAGAGAAATAATGAAACATTTATTTTACAGTTTGTATTTATTCTATTAAATATTGATTAAATATTGATCAAGTAAAATCAATTTATTATAAATATAATGAACTGTATTACTATTAAAATAAAATATGTACACATACTATATATTACTTACATGAACATTAGGAAGCTCCGTTGCACTATATGCATTTTTTATTCCATCAAATGCTGGATAATTCTTTTCAAAGTGTTTATCTCTACATTCTTCAAAAACTTTTGTATGTATAGCTTTAGAGGATTTAGGCTCAATTATTACATCATAATGAACAATGCTGGTTGCAAAGTTTTCACCAATTATAATTTCAAACATATTTGTCAAAATAGGTATTGTCCCATCTGTCTTTGCTATAAAATAGAATTAAAAAATGTATATATGTGTCGCATGCGCGCGTCTATGTGTGTAAAAATCTAAAAGTACAATATATGAAATACACATATAAAATTTTAATGTTGCTTTTCTTTTTGTTAACTATGCATATCAGAAAGATATTTTACCTGAAACTTGTTCCTGATATTGTGAAGTGCGTATTCTTTGTTGTGAGTATTTTTGTACTCGCTGAGGTTGTCCTGATTGATACCGTATTTCTTGCTGTTGTTGTGATAAGTTATGTGACATTGCCTGATGTTGTGAGTACTGTCTTTGTTGTTGATTCCTATTTCCTTGTCGTTGGTCCCTCATTTTTTGTTGTTGTTGTTCAAGTAAATTTTGTGAGTATTCTGAAAATTGTCCTTGATTCCATTCTGTCTGTTGTTGTCTGGAGGGTCCTGGAACTTGTTGTTCCTGATATTGTGAAGTGCGTATTCTTTGTTGTGAGTATTGTTGTACTCGCTGAGGTTGTCCTGATTGATACCGTATTTCTTGCTGTTGTTGTGATAAGTTATGTGACATTGCCTGATGTTGTGAGTACTGTCTTTGTTGTTGATTCCTATTTCCTTGTCGTTGGTCCCTCATTTTTTGTTGTTGTTGTTCAAGTAAATTTTGTGAGTATTCTGAAAATTGTCCTTGATTCCATTCTGTCTGTTGTTGTCTGGAGGGTCCTGGAACTTGTTGTTCCTGATATTGTGAAGTGCGTGTTCTTTGTTGCGAGTATTGTTGTACTTGCTGAGGTTGTCCTGATTGATACTGTATTTCTTGCTGTTGTGAGTACTGCCTTTGTTGTTGATTCCTATTTCCTTGTTGTCGGTCCCTCGTTCTTTGTTGTTGTTGAGGAAAAATCCTTTGCAGTTGAGATCCAGTATCTCCTGATACTGGTTGTTCAAGTAAATTTTGTGAATATTCTGAAAATTGTCCTTGATTCCATTCTGTCTGTTGTTGTTGTCTTGGGGGTACATGTTGTTGTGAAAAGTCTCGTGTTACTGGTTGTTGTTCAAGTGAACTGTGTGAGTATTGTGGTTGATTCCATGGTGTTTGTTGCTGTTGTATTGGGAGTACATGTTGTTGCCTCCTGGATCTTTGTTTGCGTCTTACCTTTTGAAACTGGAATTCAACTGCTTTTTCATCCTGATCTTGATCTGAAATTGGAGAATATGAAGGATATTTAGAATATGAATTGTATTGTTCTGGCATTGATATTTGGTGTTGTAGTAAATTTGAATCATTAAATTTACTGCAACCATCAAGTTGCATTTGATGCAGTTAATTCTGCGACATTGTATGTGACCAATCTTGTCGAGCTAAATTTGTATATTGCTGTTGTGGTAATTTATGTAATCTTTGCAATGACGATAAGAACTGTGCTTCATATTGCCACTGTTGTGAAGATAAATGCATGTCTTTCTTTTCAAATAAATATTTCTTTGATTTTATCCCTAGATACATAACGATAGTGTACGAGTAAATTACATAACTAATGTAAGATAACTTCTATATTAGCTTTTGTTTATTGTTATAACCTTGAAAAGTCTGTCCTGATTGTAACTTTAAAATATGGAACTATTTTTGTCGACTGAATATATTCTAAGAAATAATAAATCCGTTATATATTTTACATACTAATATTTATATTAACTTCTTTTTATTCCCAACAAATAGGTAAAAGATTGAATTATCATAAAGGAGCTGATTTATATCAGTTATATTGGAGATAATGTGAGAAGTAATATTTAATCTATAAAGTCTCTGCAATGACTTCGCATACTTATAACTTTACGTACCTTTTCTTTCCATTTTGTATTAATTTATATTCTCGTTAATATTTCTGAAAAATTGTCTCCCTCAAATTGATTGCCGGTGACACCAATTTATGAATTCGCAACTGCCTAGTAATTGGGAAATTTTACTTTTGTTTCTGACAGCTTCTAAGCGTCTCGTACAAGAGCTCGAATGCTCACAACGTACATAACGAACGAAATTCTCTCCTAATTTTCAAACTTTTCTAATAAAATTATAAACAATTTTCGCATGCGCGAAATATCAGGTTCGGCTAGGTTCGTCCAATAATATTCCCATGCAGAGGGCGTTTTAGAAGTTTCCATTGGAGCAGCAATCAGCAGATCAGCAGTCATCAGCAACATCGGCACAAAAATCAGTTCTTATTAATATTCAGTATTCCATAACTTTCTCAAGATTCTTTAGAATTTAGAATATTTTCATAGATTCTTTTTGTAAGAGATAAAGACTATCAAAATTTACATAAACTATAATTAATCGCAAATAAGAAATTATACATAATTTGTGTAATTTCTACTGTAAGAATAGAAAAGGAAAAAAGTGTTTTTGATTATTTTCTAATTATTTAGCAAACATGGGTATGTACTGGCACAATCTGCCAAATTATTTGTGACTATTGTATAAAAAAATTTCACAAGAGAAAATGTATAACATTATACATCATGACATTTTTACCATGTTCAGCAATTTTTTTTCTAATATATTTAGATACTTTTATTATTATTAATACTACTACTATTATGTTACAGCTGTTAGCAGTGGAGTATCATTTATATTATCTTCGATATTGACAGTACTATTATTCTCTGGAATGCAAATGTACAAAGTTTGGCTTGGTTCATCACAGTTGGGGACTGTATTGGGAGGATGGGTTGGATCATTATTGTTCATGTGCACATTAACTGCTATAGGAAATCTTGAAAGCACTTTATTTGGAAAATCCTTCCAACAGAAATTACTTCCGGAAGGTAGATACGCACTTGCATTATTTGTTCAATATACATGAAATAAATTTAAATTTATATGTAAAGTTTTTTTTTAAGATATATATAATACTAATGTATCTCTCGTTATTTTGTTGCAGTGGTTCTCTCATTGACTTTAAGTCTAATTGCTTCTGCGCTGATTCATCGTGTATCTACCACAACATGTTTAATATTCTCTATGATTGCACTCTATTACATGAATCGTATTTCTCAAGAAACATATGGTGTATCTATACAAAATGCAGTAATACATTCTAAGAAACGCAAGTAAATATAAGGATATTTATATATATATATTGTTCTTTTTATATACTACAGATCATATATGATGTATTTTGTATAAAAATTTCCAATTTATAATATACATTTAATGTCAATCATATATATATATAAATTGATTGATATTTGTCAAGGATATATATGGTTTTGTGCAATTTTTACTAAAAATAAATTTTAATATTTACTTTGCATATAATTTTTATTAATTTATAATACATAAAAAAATATTGACCAATGAAATATTCACGTTAATAATGTATGTCAATATGATATTTACATCGTGAAACTTAAATATTATGAAAAACAAGAAATATGTAAATATATTTCTATTGCAGATTTTGTTTGTCCATCTTTTTATGTTTTTCAGCTTCTTCTTTATCACTAAAATATTCATATGATTCATCTGATTCTTCCTTTTGCATTGCAGCATTTGATTGATGATTATCTATTACTTTTTGCTCATTGTATTTGGGCATTACTTGTTTATAAATTGCCATTGCCTACAATATTACACAAAATTTAATTATTGAATCTGTAATAGATAACAATTACAAAATAATAAATAATTTATTAAATGACAAACCTGTGCTACAAATGTCGAAACATCTCCTACGTTGCTTGGTAATATCAATGTGTTATTAACTTTTGCTAATTTGTTGAATGCGTTAACATATTGTTCTGCTACGCTAAGCGCTGCCGCATTTTTTGCATCTGATGCCCCAAGAGCATTTGCAACTACTTGTAATCCCTTTGCTCGTGCCTCTGCTACTGCTACTACTGCTGCAGCTTCTCCAGTAGCTTTATTTATTTGCTCTTGCCTTGCTGCTTCTATAATAATAATCAAGTTTCTCTTTGCAATGTTTTTAAAAATTAAATATTCCTTGAAAATATAAAATTTTCTTTTTAAATTACAAATTATTATAAAAAAGACAATATATTTGTATAAAACTTTCTTGAATTCACATTATTAAGAATCATTGAATGTATATGTAATACACTACCTGAAGCTAAAATTTGTGCAAGTTTTTTGCCCTCTGCTACGTTTACTTCAGCTTCTCTGATACCTTCCGATTCTAATATAGCAGCACGCTTCTTCCGTTCGGCTTCTACTTGCATTTGCATTGCTTCCTGCACTCGTGGTGGTAATCTTATATCACCTAACATATAAATACAAATTTATAAATTTAAAAATATTTTGTAGATACAAATTGTTCTAATATTATATGAAACATTTTTATTGTCATATTATAAGAATTTTGTTTCAACTTACGAATTTCATATCTTAAGCATGTTATTCCCCATGCACTACTGGCCTTGTTAATACTTTCAACGATAGAAACATTTAATCCTTCTCTTTCCCTAAATACTTTATCTAAAGATATTTTTCCTAATTCAGATCTCATGGTGGTTTGGGCTACTTGAATTATAGCAAATTCAGCATCCTCAACACCATAAGAGGCTAGATAAGGATCAGTTATTCTTAAATACAATACAGCATCAATACTCAAAGTCACATTATCTAAAAAAAGAAAAAATAGGAAAAATGATTTTGCAAAAGTCATAATTAATACAGTTGTTGTTATGTATAGAGTTTATATTTAATAATTGATCATTATTCTCACCTGATGTAACTGCACTTTGTTGTGGCACATCTATCGCTAATTCCTTTAAAATTTGTACATATTTGACTTTATCAACAACAGGAAGTAAAATATTTAAACCTGGATCTAAAATTTTATGGAATTTTCCCATTCTTTCTACAATCCATGCCTAAATAAAATGTTCTGTTTTAAATTAAAGGCTACACTTCAATTAAACTCCAATCAACTTGATTTTTTGGCAATTATTTAACTGATAGAATTTTCTACATCAAAATTCCTAACTAAATAATATATTGTTTCTAAATTGATCTTTATTTACATATTTATACGTCAAACACGAAAAATTAATATAATTGATATTATCAAAGCAATATTAACAAAATGTTTAAGTTAATTGGAGTGTAGTTCAAATAGTTTTAAATGTTATTAATTTCACAAATATAGTTATAAATTAACTAAATTTTATTAAAAATAACTTAATTCTTATAATGGAAAATTATACAAAATATTTCATCATAATTGATACATGTTACATAAACATATTGTGTATTAAACAATTACATACCTGTTGTTGAGGAACAAACATTATAATAGTATTTATCGGAGTTAACGGTCTATATCGTGAATGTTGAGTTGCCGAACCAAATTTTTTGTTTCTTATATTTACAAACGCATGATCCTGCAAAATATACTTTTTGTAAATTTTCGAGAATTTAAAGTTTCGCGTTTCTATGACAATTATTGTCAGCTATGACAGACGTTTTACCTTAATAAATCCGAAATTTTTTGCCAAAATCGCACTACTAGTCGCTGCACGCTTAAACATTTTTTTTTACTGTATTGAATCGTATTGTATACTTATAAAATGTAAAATATTTAGAGGTTATGACGGTTATGATAAGAACATTTCTAGCACAATGCTTATGCTTATGGAAGATAATCCGTTCGGCACAGAAAATCTAGTATGATAGAAAAAAGGCTGTAAATAATTTGTATGTAGTTATACGTTCCAAAATTGGAGTAGTATTTAATTGACCAATCCGGACGAAGCAAGTTTTGTCCCTTTTGTCCTGATTGGCCAATCGAATGTTGCTCCACTCCAAGGAGTAAAATTTTAGAACGTAACCCATCTGAGCTTCATCTCTAATGCTTACGTTAGGGCTTCGAAATTGTGCTCAGAATTTAATATTTGTAAGTATATAATATATACTGATTAGATATCGAATGGGAAATTTCTGCGTATAGTTTTAATTGTTATATGCAGAATAAAAATAATGTATTTTAATATTAATTAAAAGCTTATATATTTTGTCATTTAATTAATGGATAATTATTTCTAATAATTAAGTTTGGCACTTTTTGTTTTTGATCATTTTTTAAATAGTTTTACTTATCATTTTTAATATTGCATCTACTTGTGCCTTTATTGTATCAACTAATGTATATATAAAATATATTAAGTGTATATCACAGGATTTTTTATAAGGTTATATGAAGATTTTTATTATTATTATTGCGTCTGCATATAATATAATATAATATATTATATGTATATAATTATTTATATATCTAATATATTTATTTACTGTAAAATTTCTTTTATAAAAATTTAAAAGTCGCATGTTAAATTGACATTTCTCTCTCTCTCTCTCTTTCTGCTTGAAATTGTATTCTGTCCGTAATTCTTACAAAATAATTAATAACAAAAATACAATTTTTTAAAATTGCAATTGTAGTTTAAAAGTTATAATATTTTGATATATTCACAATTCGTTTTGCTCGTACTTTTCAATTTTTCATATATAAGCTCGGTTTTTCAAACTTCTTTTCGCGCTCATAAAACAATTGAAAAGATGCCTTAAAGAAGCGATCCTATTGGCCGGGAGTGAAAGTAGCAGAGTTATATCGATCCGGGTATACATGCGGAACGACGTGTCGTCGGAGCCGCGTATTTTTTTTTTATCAGTCTCGTATCGCCGATCGCCGAGCTCGCGCATAGTTTGGCCATCATTCGGTATCGGGACAATCCCTCGCGCTGTGCAACGATAACGATAGCGTCGTTGGGAGGGATAGAGAATATAAATACAGGTTCGATTGTGTACACAGTGTCGGGTGCATCTCATCGAACGATCCACGCGCCATCTTTAAAGCCGTCCGAGAAGCGAGAAGCTGTTGTCACCGGATGCCCTATTTAGCCTGATTTAGCCGCCTGTCCTTCAATCCGAGGCGCATTTTCAATAAGAACGCTGTGATTATGCGAGAGGTATGTGGTCTTGCGTGAGTGAAGAACGTGTGATTTTTCCGTGGGAAAAGTGAGACCGTCGTTAAGAGATACACGAACGCCGGCGAACGCGGATCGTCTCGCAGGTGAGTGGAACCAATATTTACGTCAGAATCCGCCTCATATTATATGAACAGTTCCGCCTGCAAAACCACCGCGTCGTACAGAAACCTCGCGCTTTATTCACGCATATATATATATATGTGTGTGTGTTATATCTATCTGTATGACGTATGTATGTATACATTTGTATACATGTATATATATTATATATATATGCGTCGATCACGAAGTCGTCATGTCGGATTGCAAGCGGCCTTAAAGGAAGTCGGGCTTATATAAGACGACTTGATGTGCTTTGTGTCGCATTTCCTGTCGATGCGCAACCATATTGCACGGAGTAACGGTTTTATATCTGGAGGTTCCCCTCTCAAAGCACATTCAACTTTCCAACAATGTTGCTCTCCAAGAGACGATAGTAATGATGATCGGATTTATTTCTGAAAAATATTTTCCTCCTTCGAATCAATATTTCATTTCAACGAGATAATCTTCACGAGAGACAGGAAGAAATGGTAGATGATGATTAGCGAGTAAAAGATATATATATATGTATATATATATATATATATATAGAGCTCTTAAAAAATAAAAAAAAAATGCATCGCTACCTGTTGTCGCGGCAGGCTATTATTATCGAGCGCAACTGCTTGTTTTTTTTTTATTCTGAGAATGTATATATAGGACGAGCAGGAGAGGAGACAATATACGACGATAAATGAAGATTCTAATGGCAATCAATTTTTTTTCGTTAAAAAACCAAGCATTGGATGAAAATTTCGCTCGTGCTCCAACATAAGCCGCGTTCTGCATCGCAGATGTATGGTCGTTGTGGGTGCACAAACGAGGAGAAAGTCCCAGAGGCGCGCACTCTTGCATTCTTGATGCATTCCGCGTTGTTACGAACCGAGATTTTCATTTTAACTCGTAACGTCGAATAAATAACGATGTTTAACTTGTTAGCGACAATAAGAATGATATTCACGAAGAGATGCACGTGGAAAAAATTATATACACAAGATACTTTATATATATATATATATTTTTTTTTTTTCTAATAATTTATTTTAGATCAGGTATTACATGATTTTTTTACAACAGACAATCGCGTATCTGATTTGCGTAAGAATAAGGGAGGAAGATGCGACCAGATGTTGCTGTTCGAATTGACAAAAGCAGGAGCAATAAATATAATATTTCGTATATAAGTAGATGAAAATGGATCCTACGCCATTTGTTCCGTTTCTCTTATCAGCGACGAATATAAAGTCATTCTCTCGTTTCTAAACTTGCACCAGCGAAATTGTAATCACTATACTTATATCCATTTTATTCTTCGAATCGATAAATTCAAATATTTTTGTCGCTGACGAGTATTTTAATTCGCCGCGATAAAGAAATCGACGTAAAAAAAACGCGTTCGTTTATTCCTCCGTGGAATTTACACACCGAGAGATGAGAATTAAATTCGCGTGGAAAATTCTGGCGGATTTTTTTCAGCTCCCAAACGCGCTTTTCGATTAATGCGCAGAGAGCACCCGGGTACATTCGATTACACGATTCGAGTACCTCTAACGGATCTAGACAAGAATGTATGTGTGTGTGTGCGTGTGTGTGCGCTACGTGGCATGGCTAGAAAGAGAGCGCACGACAGAGCTAATCGATGTTAACTGGAAGAGAATCGGGCATTTTTTTTCCTCGCGGGATGAAAAAATCCCGGCCGCGGGATAGGCTCGGAATTTACGGGAGCGTTTGAGCGAGCGGGTATATCGTGAAAAAAATATTTGATACAGATATATCTCGGTGTGTGCGCGACGAAAGCAGCGCTGCGAAAATATAATCCGGTTTTTCCTCCTGTCCTTCTCTACCCGCTGTCGCGCTCTCTCTCTTTCTCTCTCTCTCTTCGCCTCGCGGCGGAGTAGAATAGGTTAGGCTAGGTTAGACTAGGTTGCTCACGAGCGCGAGACAGCTTAGGTGACGCGGCTCCGAGTGCTACAATAAAGGGCGAATCGTTGCTCGTCCAGCGCTAATGCCTAGGAGAAATATTAAATTTAGCTTATCTTCGTGTCCACTATCGTACGCAGTTAGGAAAATATTTTAAACAGAAGAGAGAAAGAAAAGATATTTTCTCTTTCCCTCTTCTGTTTAATATTTTATATTTTTCCTATTGTGCGTAAAGCTTTACAGGTATACGCATATTTTTCTATGATAATCGATGCAAATATTTTAGGAAAATCGACAATTTTTTCATTCGTTGAGAAATGCTCTTTTATAAATATTAAATTAAAACTGAGGAAGGATCAGAAATATTTTAAAAATCATCTCTCGTATATTGTATTAATATTTGTTTCACAAGAAAGTCTTTTTCTGTTGGGTCTTGAATTAGTTATAAAATTGAAATTAGGAGAAAAGAATGTACAGACGATGAGTAATCATCTGACGGCGCCACTATTAATTTTATCTAAGACACTATTCTAGACACTAATTATCTTCACTATAATGTTTCATTAATAATCTATTCAAACAAAAATTTGCTTGAAGGTATTATGTATATTTTTTCTCTCTGTTTATCTTTCCCTCTTAAAACATTGATGAAAAGCTATACTACTCGAAATATTTGTTAGAACACTTGGTATACATTTGCATAAATTGTATCTCGAATCGTTTATAAAAAAAAACGAAAGATATTTGTAAATCGTTAAATCTTTTTTTATAACTTTTTTTTAATATTCTAATAACTGCATATCTGTATAAAAAACATTCATTTTATTGAAATATTTACAATTATTTTTATAAATGATAGGATTTATTTTATGAGTTGCATTAGAAGACGTAATCCTCGAAAATTGTGTAATTTTTTTTTTTCATTATATTCTGGTGTACTATACATCCTATGATAATAATTTCTCAATTTAATTATTGCTATTTCTGTAATTTTTATTATTGCTTATTATGATGTCTATTATAATGTTTATTACGAATCAGCTGATCTTGAATGATTCTCTTTTCACGCTTTTACATTAAAAAAATTTTAAATAAATAAACGAAGCTTTATAAGAGTGGAAGTATTTAGAAAATATAAAGGCCACGCCATATCGTTTTTATGTTTTTAAAATATTTCTGCATATGCAACAATATCGCACATGTAGTAGAAATAGATGGAATAAAATTCAAAAGCGAGAAAGAATAGGGCAGAGAAACGACGGTAATATCCTGTCGCTTTCACTAAAATCACACTTTCGCGAATTATAAAACTTGTGCATACATTCTTCCTCTATATGCAAAAGAAAAATATAGCATTTTTTAATCTATTCTTACTCCATCGCTGTCCTCTTTATCGTAGGCGAGAAAATGATCAAAAGCTATCTGAGGCGAGAGCACCTGACCTAACATCAGTTATAAGGGCTGTTCTCAGTGTAAGCTGCTAATGAAACATTCCTTGCCATCTAGAGCAGATGATCTTATGGCAATGAGTACATTGGAATTCAAGGTTGCTATTGAGCTTTTAACAGGCCACGTGATTCTGAGGGCTTGCAATGTGCAGAATCACGGGGCAAAAACAATGCCGTGATAAAGAGGACAACATCCCTTGTGTTTTTGCGCTAATATATAGAAGATACAATGTTATA